AGGCTGAGCAAGCCAGTAAACAGCATTCTTCTATGGCGTCTGCCAGAGTTCCTACCTTAAAGTCCTGCCCTGGTTTCTTGTGCTTGGAAGGTAAATAAACCCCTTCTCTCCCAAGTTGCCTCATGGTGTTTATCACGGCAACAGAAAGTCAAGCAGATTTGCAGAAACAAAAGACAGGACTGAGGGAGGGAATAAAGAGGAAAGCCTGGTACCTCCTGAGTTTAAACCTGCCATGATAAAGATATCACAGTATGGGCAACCAAGATGGTTTTAGTAGAGACCAGAGGTTCAGAAGAGTGAATTCAGAAATGAACCCTTACATATATAGACAAAAGATTGCAATAAAGATGTCAAGACTACCCACTGGACAAATGACAGTCTCTTTAACAAATGAATGCTGGGAAATTGGAAATCACGTGCAGAGGGATGAGGGCAGGCCTTTGCCTTACAGGAAGTCTAAAAATTACCTTAGAAGCGACTAACAAGCTGGGTGGTGGTGGTGCACGCCTTTAATCCCAGCACTTGGGAGGCAGAGGCAGGCAGATTTCTGAGTTCGAGTCCAGCCTGGTCTACAGAGTGAGTTCCAGGACAGCCAGGGCTACACAGAGAAACCCTGTCTTGAAAAACCAAAAAAAAAAAAAAAAAAAAATAAGTGACTAACGACCTACAATTAACACCTACAACCAAAATACCCCTAGAAAACAATACAGGGGAGAAGGCTTAGAAGGTGGGCTTCTGCAATGGTTTCTTGAATAGACACCAAGGGCATACAGTCTGCCCATCAGCCCCAAATCTGCTTGTCCTTAAAGCCTGTTGACATCAAAGCAAACAATCGAGCAAATGCTCCTCGGAGTGGAAGGGCAATGTAGGGAAGGACACACACACCCGCAAGTCACACACTAACACGTGGTGAAAGCGCAACATGAAAGGAAGCTCTACAGTCGCACGACGACAGCTACTCCAACTAAAACACAGGTAGGCATGTGGTGTCACACGCCTGTAAACCCCACACTACAGGAGCAGAGGCAGGAAAATCACAAGTATCAGGACGGCCTGGGCTATATAGCCAGACATTGTCTCAAGAAGCATAGATAGAAAAATGTAAGTACATAGGTAAAGGTGTTGGATAGACTTCTTTGCAGATGAATAAATGGTCTACAACCATATGAAAAAATGACGTATATCACTAAATATAAAAGATACCAGGGCTAGCAAGATGGCTCAGTGGGTAGACCTATCTGTCTCGGAGCTTGACGGACAGAGTTCCATCCTAGGGACCCACATGGTGGAAGGGAAAACTGATTCCTCCAAGTTTTCCTTTGACATATGCTAACAGGCCATGACAAGATACACACACACTCAGACACATGCATGCGCGCACACACACGAGCACACACACACACACACACACACACACACACAGGCACACTCATACAAATAAAACCAAAACAAATAAAAATGTAATTTAAAAAATTGCAAGGGCCAGTGTAGTGACCTATACATTTAATCCCAGAACCAGACCAGCATGATTGCTGTGTAAAGACACTTACAACCAAGCTGACAAGCAGAGTGCCATCCCCAGGGCCCACATGGTGGTGGTGGTGGGGGGGAGAATTGAACTTTACAACTCGCACTCTGACCTCTCATGGACAACCATGGTATGTTGGCATGTGGATGGTGTTACACACGTGTGCACACACACTTTATTAATTTTATAATTAAATTAGCCAAAACAGAGTCAGAGGGGAGAGGGATAGTGTCAGGGGTTGCAGGGATGGAGAGTTGAAATATTTAATGGATAGATTCCATTTTGAGAGACGAAAAGTTCTGGGAAATCTGCTGCGCAGCAATATATTGCTGGACGGCAAATTTAATGTCAGATAGTTTTTATTAAAATAAAAAATAACAGGGAAAGCCCTGAAACTTACAGAAAAAAGCCAGTTTTGTTGGTCTTACATCTAGAGGGTCAAAGTACTACCTGCCACTGTCAGAATAATCCAAAGGACATCTTGTGTTGGTTATAAAAAAACAGGACGATCCAAACAAAGATTGAAAGATATAAAATGTGGCTAAGTATAGCAATTTAAAGGGGTTTTGTTGTTTTTTTTCCTTGTTTGTTTTGGGGTTTGTTTTGTTTTTTTCTTGTTTGTTTATTTGTTTGTTGTTGGTCTTTGTTTTTGTTTTGTTTTGTTTTGTGGTTTTGGTTTGGTTTTTCTTTACAAATTTTTTGTTGTTGTTGTTTTCGAGACAGGGTTTCTCTGTGTAGCCCTGGCTGTCCTGGAACTCACTCTGTAGACCAGGCTGGCCTCAAATTCAGAAACCCGCCTGCCTCTGCCTCCCAAGTGCTGGGATTAAAGGCGTGAGCCACCACTGCCCGGTGATAGGTTTGGTTTGTCAAGACAGGATTTCTCCATGTAGCCCTGGCTGTCCTAGAGAGCTGGGATTAAAGACGCGGGGCACCACCACCCGGCTGTACTTTAAAGTTTTAAAAAGCACTGTAAGGAGAATCTGCTTGGCAAAGGGTGAGACATTGTGATTAATTCTATATATATTTCAAAGATGCCCTAACTGAACACCATCCAGTTGAGGCCTGACGGAATTGATTTGGTACAAGTTGTACCTCGTCACCTTTGGCCTACTTACAATGACTCTCCATCTGAACTCTGACCCAGTCACATTTCACTTCACCAACCCAAACCTCAGCACAGTCCCCAGCTGCCAACACCAGGGACGCAGGGAGTTGCCACTTTTTTTTTTTTCTAAAGTCAGCAACTATCGACACTCTGGACAGCAGGATGACACCATTGGCCCTGATAAAAGCAGGGTCCCCAAAAGGTTGAGGTCTCTCCATGGGTCCCACAGGCACCTTCTTCTTCTCCCATGGATCTGTCAGTGACTGTGATGCTGAGTTTGAACTATCAACTTGACACAATCAAAATAAAGAAGAGAGTCTGATGGGGGGGATTGCCTTGGGTTGTGTAGACCTGTGGGCACGCCTTCAGGGGATTTTCTGAACTGGGTTCATGGAGGTTGAAAGACCCACTTTCGGTGGGAGCAGCTCCATGTCATGGGCCGGGCCCTGGCAGGCAAGCATGCACTCTCTGTTCTTGGCTCTGGGTGTGACTAGATGGTTTATGTCCTGCCTTGACTCTCCAGAGTGATGGGCTGCAGCCTGGAATTATGAGCTAAAATTAACCTTTCTTCTTGAGTTGCTCGTGCTGGGGGCATTTTATCACAGCAATGGGAAACCCAGCTGGGTTGGCGAGAAAAGGCTCCATGTATTTTGTCAAGCAAGCCTCTTCTGTGTCTCACCTGATGGGCAGGGAGGTCAGGGCTGTCCCAGAGAGCTGTTACCTCGGTTAGAAGACAGTAGGCACAGACCCAACAGCCACAGGGGCACCCACCGTATACCAGCAAGTTTCCTGGGGTTAGGGGCACACAGGTATCTAGCCTCTGCTGAGATGAAGGCATGCCCTGGGCCCAGAAGGCATGGCTGGGGTTCATGGCCATCTTCTTGGGAGGGACCTCAAGAGTAAACTAGAGGAAGTAACAAGCGAAGGTGACAACTAGGTTCCTATTCTAGGGCACAGAGGCAGCAGGGGCAGCACATAGGTGTCCTCCAAGCACTTCAGGACCCATATCCAAATCCTCAGTGTCCCTAAGGCCACTAGTATTTTAGTGAACTCCACCGGTTTGCTGTATTCTTTGTGTGGTGTGTGTTTGTGTGTGTGCTTGGTTTATGTGGGTATGTATGTATGATGTATGTATGTAAGTATGTGTGCTTGGTGTGTGTGTGTAGTATATGTGTGTGTGCACATGGGGGGTGTAGTATGTATGTAAATGTGTGTGCTTGATGTGTATGTGTGTATGCATGTTTGGTGTATGTTTGTGTGTATGCCTGGGGGGGTTATGTTGGGGGTATGTGTGTGTACATAGTGTGTGTGTGTGTGTTGTGGTGTATTTGTGTGTGTCATTTGGTGTGTGTGTGTGAGGGCTGGGGGTATATGTGTGTGTAGTGTGTGTGTGTTATGGTGTGGTATGTGTGTGGTGTGTTTGCATGTGTTGTATCTGTGTTTATATGTGTGTACACATGCATGTGGTTGAAATCAGGAGTCTTCCCTGATTGCTCTCCACCTTATTCCCTGAGGCAGGGCCTCTCAGTTGATCCTAGAGCTCACTGATGAGGCTAGTCTGGCTAGCCTGCTCGGGGCAGCTCCTGTCTTTGCGGGGCAGCTCCTGTCTTTGCTTTCCAGCTGCCTTGTCCACCCGGCTTTTACACGGGTTCCTGGGATCTGAACTCTGATCCTTACGCTTGCTGCTTGCACAGATAATGCTTTAGCCTTTGCACCATTTCCCTAGCTCTCTGTTAGATTCTCACGACACACCTGAGGTAGCGTTTCAGAGGAATTTCTTCGAAGCTAGCTACACTATAAAATGAATGGGCATTTAACTTTCTACAGTCCAAAAATTAATGCTGATTAATAAAAGACAACACTGAAATGTGATAGTCAATAAGTCATCAAAAAAGTTGACCGTGAACTGTGACCTTTCTGATGATGTCTAGAATCTCACTTTTAGGCACACTTCAAAAGTATGAGTTTACCTAAATCTTACCAATAAAATATAAAGGTTCCTATGGCAATATGAGTTTTGCTATGTTGCGTGTAGGGATATGGGTTGGAATCCCAGTTGGTTTTTTTTTTTTTTATAAAGAATGGCAAGTAAAAATACTTACCCCATACTACTGTCTTGACTGAGACTTCATAAGTACAACCTTAGATATAAAGCAGTCACTGAGTTACCTACCATTCATGGATGGCAACACATCAAAGCCTGGCCTTCCACAAGCCTCAAGTCAGATGAGATCACAAGCATCTTATGAGACCACAAGAGTCTTTAGACCCCTAAAAAGCTGCTTTGAGAAATTTGGTGCGTGCGTGTGTGTGTGTGTGTGTGTGTGTGTGTGTGGCTGCATGGGGGGAGTCTTTCAAGTAGCCTACCTTTTGGTTACCGGCACAACCGTTTCTTTCCTGGACCCCGAGGGGGATGGGAGGGAGGCACTGGGTTTCTTTGGTAACACGGTGCCATTGTTGACGGTGGTTCTTAACGGCAGGGTCTGCCCCAGTGGTCTCGCTGCAAGAGAAGCATAGGATGAAGTCAGAACTTTGCCCATTGCAGCAGTAACACTCCACAGAACCCAAGCTGCACGGAACCAAGCTGCACAGGTGATTTCAATTCTAAAAGCCAGCAGCACAGGTGATTTCAATTCTAAAAGCCAGCAGTAGTGGCATGGGTACAAAGGCGAGTGGTACAAAGGGGAGTGGTGAGACTTTCAGCAATGATGACCAAACTATGACTCTGGATAGCATCCTCTCACCCTACACAGATAGTAACTCACAAGCAGTGAGAAGCATAAAACTGAACGTCTCTAGAAGCAAGCTCTGAAGGTCTTAGTAATCTGCTCCTCCTCCTCCCCTGCTCCTCTTCCTCCCCTGCTCCTCCTCTTGCTTTTCCTCCTGTTCTTCCTTCCCTGCTCCTCTCCCTGTTCCCCCTCCTGTTCCTTTTCCTCCTGCTGCTCCTCCTACCCTCTTCAGTTCTTGCTGTTCCTGCTCCCCTGCTCCTCCTTCTCAGTTCCCACAGTTCCTTATCCTGTTCTTTCTCCTTCTCTTCCTCCCATTCTCTTCTTCTCCTGCACCACCTCCACTCCTAGTCTCACTGCCTCCCAAGCACTTACATTACGGATGTGCGCCCTTGTGTCCAGCACACACAGTGATAGGGATCAAATCCAGGGCTTGTGTACGCTACCCAAGCACTCAACCAACCGAGCTACTGCCCTAATGCAACGATGCTTCTGCTGTGTAAGATATGGTTCTGTTCCATTTTCATTTCTCCTCCTGATAAAATACTCAGACCAAAGGCAGCATCTTGGAAGACAGGGTGCATTTGCTTTACAGTTCCAGGTCACAGTGCATTGCTGAGGGAAAGTCAAAGCTGGGACTCAAGCAGCCAGTCATGGCACACCCACAGAAAGGGGCAGAGAGAAGAGAGCAAGTCCACAACTGCATCTTCTCGCAACTTTACTCTCTCATAGTGTTCAAGATACCCTACCCGGGGATGGTGATATCACATGGACTGGATCTTCTTCATCAATTAACAATCAAGACAATCTCTTACAGACATGGCCCAAGATCACAGACATGGCCATGGGCCAACTTGCCCTAGACAGTCACCTCTACAGTGATTGTAGTCAGGGTAAACTAATAATAGTTAAAACTATCATGGGCTATCACAGGCTAGGAGCACGGGTTGCTCTTGCAGAGGACTTGGATTCCATCCCCCAAACCCACACAGTGTCTCACAACCATCTACAACTCCGGTTACAAATGATCCAATACCTTTCTCTGACCCCCTGGGGCATCAGGCATACATGTGGTACATACATACAGATACAGACAAAACACTCTTACCCCTAAATTTTTTAAAACTTAAGCTAATAAATATCAAAAGCCTGACTGACCCATGGAGGACAAATTGACAAAGTGGGTCTCCTTAAGAACTTTACAAGTTTTGGCAAAGAAACTTAAAGAGGACAGAAACACTAATTATAGGTTGGAAGAAAATATGTGTCTGATATATCTGATAAATTATGTATCTGATAAAGAACTTGTACAGAGTGTAAGAACTCTGAAAATTCAACAGTAAGAAAACAGATGGCCCAATTTTTTTAAAATAGTGGACACAAGATAAGAAGAGACCTCACTAAAGGTCTTCAGTGACAAATGGACACATGAGAAGACAGCTAACATCACTGTCATTAGGAAAAACACTAATGAACAGCTCTATCCAACTAGTCAAAATTGCTGAAATCCCAAAACCAAAATGAAACACCAATCGTGAGCTGGGCAGAAGCCACGGGAGCCCACATGCTTTGATAACAGGATGATAAATGGTGCAGCTACTTTGGAATACAGTTTGGCAGTTTCTTAAAAAGCTAAATATAACCTTACCATATGATCTGGTAATCATTCTGACACTAAGTATTTACCTAATTGTCTGAAAACTTATGTCTACACAGACCTGCATGTAAACGTTTATAGCAGTTTTAGTCACCATTGTCAAAAACTAGAGAGAACCAAGATGTCCTTCCATAGGTAGAATGGATAAACAAGCTGGTCCATTCTACAGCAGACTGCTTCAGCGATCAAAGTAAATGAACAGCCTGCAACACACATGGGTCGGAAGTCCGAGTGAGTGTGACTGTTAGTGTTAACTGTGCACTTGACAGAGTCTAGAGTCACCTGGTTCTGGGCATTCATGTGGGGATTATCAGTGAAGTGGGAAGACCTGCTCACTGTGGGCGGAAGCATCCCCTGGCTGGGACCTGGAACTGTGCAACAGTAGAGAAATTAAGCACAGTGGCGGTCTGTGTTGATTGCTCTCTGCTTCCTGATTGAGGACATAATGTGACCCATCAAGTTCACCTGATCCCACCTACTTGGTGGTTTCCTGGTGACCTGGAGAACATGCTTGCTCCAGCACTGCTCTGGTCAGAAGGGGAGGGGAGGGGAAGGTCGGGGAGGGGAGGGTCTGAGACTGCCTCTCTGCCTCACTGTCCTGCAATGTTCTGGAGCTCTGGGGTCCACACTGAGAACAGCTGGCTATGGTACTGCCAGCCCTGGATGTCCTCTTGTCCTTACCTTCCTGGCTGTCACACCCTTCCCTGGGATTCTTATCAGGTATGTGATGGCTACTCTTGGTTGTCAATTTGACATCTGGAATTAACTAAAATCCAAGCAGCTGGGTACACCTGTGGGGGGTTTTCTTTTATTATTATTATTAAATCGTTGGAAGTAGGAAGAACCACTATTTTTGTTGTTTTGTTTTGTTTTTCAAGACAAGATTTCTTGGTGTTACCCATACTCACTTTGTAGACCAGGCTGGCCTCAGACTCAGAGATCCACCGGCTTTTACCTCCTGGGTTCTGGGATTAGAGGTGTGTGTCAACATGTCCGGCTGAGGAGAGATCCACTTTTAATCTGGATCTTTTGCAGTGAGAATATTCACCTTTAATCTGGGCCACACCTTCTGGGGCAGCCTATATAAGGCCATGGATGGAGGAAGCTTTTGCTGTTTGCCTGCTTGCTCCTGCCTTGCTAGTGTGTCTACTTCTTCACTGGCATTAACGTCTACTTCTCCAGGATCCCAGGATATACAGAAGACCAGTTTAGATATCCAACCTCATGGACTGGATTCTTGGACTTTCTGTTGGTAGACAGCTATCATTGGATTACCCGGACCACAGCCTATAGAGTCATGGTAGAGGGGTCATCTAGACAGACAGACAGACAGACAGACAGACAGACACACACACACACACACACACACAAACACACACACATCTACCCATGTGCTTTAATAGAATGGTCTACACCCAGCCTAGAGCCCAGGCTGAACATTGTGTCTGTCCCTTGGGAACAGAAATAAACCGTCACCACTTGTAGCCCTCAAGGGCTGAGGCAGGGAACAGTTAACAGATCCTAGGAGAAAGCAGAGGTCCTTTCAGCAACAGCAAGTGGAGAGACAGTGCTACCCAGAGCGATCCTCGCAGGATCAGACAGAGGCATAAACATTCAGATCTTATATACTTTCATTTCCCGGCCCTCGATCCTGAAGGGGAAGTGGAGGCAGAGGAAGCCTGTGTGTGTGCTGACTCCAGCAGAGGCTGGAGGAGAAGGGGCTCATAAAGGACTTAGAAGAGCAGTCCCACCTGTTATCACACTAAGAGTGCCACATCCGACTGGCTGCCCACTGACCAGTCTGCCCCATCAACCATTGGCTCCTGAGGGTTCGTACCTGGCACTAGGCCCACACATAGAGAGAATGTGCTACAGACGACCCTCTATGCCTACAGGTTCAATGCCCAGGGCTCATCCAACTAAAGACAGATAATGGTTTTTAAAACGTTATGTTTTCTTTTCTTGCTATTGTTCCTTGAACAACAGGACTCTGGTATTTACGATACACACGTGACAGTGACACAGAGGTGACTTGGATTATAAGGAAGGAGAAGAGTTGGTTGTATGTAAAACATTTTGTCATTATATGTGAGGGACCTGAGCAGCCTCTGGTTTGGGTATTTTGTGTGCCCCAGAAGCAGTCCTTGGGCATACGGAGAGATGGCTGTATTTGTCAGTCAGCTCACTATATTTCAATAACATGAGATGGAGAGATGACACAGCAGTTATGAACAGGCACAACTCTTTCAGAGGACCTGCGTTCGGTTACCAGTATCCACGTTGGGTGGCTCACCACCAACTGCCTGTTAACTGCAGCTTCAGGTATCCAACACTCTCCTACAGCCTTTTTGGGCATCTGCACTCATATACACAAACCCCACACAGATATACACACACTTAGACATAATTAAAAATACAAATAAGATCGCTTTTTAAAAATACAGTAGAGCACAGTCAAGGTAAGCATTCCTGGATAGACACACCCAATACCTAATACCACATACACACACACACACACACACACAGCACAACACACACAGATAGTGGGAAAGGAACAATACAGCTTCCTGTCTCCCAGTTGCTGGGAAAAATGATTTCCTGATTTCCAGGGAACATTAAGATAGAAGATATCCTTCTGCCTCCTAAAATGTTAAATTGAATCTTTAGTTGTTCCTAGAGGTAAATGCAGGGATAACACAGAAGAACTTCTCAGATAAAAGGAGCACCACAAATACTGAGGTGGGAGCACCATCAAGGATGAGATGGCTGCAAGCCGGGTCTCAGGGGGAATGACAGGTATGTGTGAACACAGGGCAGAGACCCTTGGGGCACACAGGGCTGATCGACCAGGACCAGCCAGGGATAAACCAATACCCTGTCTAAGCTTCAATTTCCTTATAACATAAGGCTGGCAGTGCCCGCGTGGCAGGCCGCTGGGAGGGTTAGGTAGGAATGAGAACTGAAAGTCCATGGTGTGGTACACAGCAGGCTCCGAAGCTGATCTCCTGGCTTCATTTCTACTGCTGTGATGAAAACACCCTGACAAAAAGCAGTTTGTTGGGGGAAGGTCTTACTCAGCTCACAGTTCCAGGCATCACCCACCATAGCAGGGAAGTCAAGGCAGGAGCGTGAAGCAGCTGCTCAAGCCACAGCCCCAGTCAAGAGAGGAGAGAGAGAAATGACACATGCTGGTCCCCAGATCACCTCTTCTACTCTCCTACAGCCCAGGACCCAACGCCACAGCTCTGTAAGGCCACGGCACCTCTCGTGATGCGGTGTCCCACTCTCCTGTCTTCCTTTTATTTCTCAGTGAGTTTCAAGCCAAAGATGATTTCCACTCGTGAGAGCAGCGCGCAGTGAGGCGTGAGGTAACCATGAAAAAGTCATCTCTTTTCCGGTTTTGTCATGAGACATCATTCAGAGACGTCGTCACTGATCGTCAAGTAAAATAGAAACCCTGTGTGAACCCTGTCTGTTATTTCCTCTACTCTTCAAAAATAAGGAGATTTTTAGAAACCCAGAGCCTCCTTTCAAGGCACCCTTTGGGACACTGTCGCCATCTCATCGTTTTGTGGAAAGTTGAGCGGGTCACGAACATCTAAAATAACTGGGTCTCTGGTCTGAAATACCCCAACTGCTTGGAACTTAGAAGCAAAGGTCACTGGAAAGGATTATTCAAAATACAGAGCTGAGGGTAGCGTGAGACTCTGATGTAGATCTGCCCTCAAACCGTCAGGAAGGACAAGGAACAGGTCCCTTTCCACGGAGTAGAGACCTAGGCAATCCATGAGAAGGCACAGCTTGAGAAAGGCCAAGGAGATTAAATGTTAGATAGCCCTCTCCTGACTCCAGTGACAACCCAAGCCTCGAGGAAACAAGGGGAGAAAGAGGGAGAGAAGGGGAGAAGAAGGGGGAAGAGGAGGCAAAGGAGGATGCGGAGAGAGAGAGAGAAGGGAAAGGAGAGGGACGGGGGAGAGGGAAAGGGACAGGGAGAAGGGAGAGGGGAGAGGGAGAAGGGGGGAGGGGGAAGGGTGAGGGTAAGGGGAGACAGAGAAGGGGAGGAGAGAAAGGGGGAGGAGGGAGGGGAAGGGGAGAGGGGGAGGGGAAGGGGAGAGGGGGAGGGGGAGAGAACACCCGCACAGGTGAGTTCACATGCCTTGTTTTTTAAGACAAGATCTCTCACTGGCCTGAAGCTTGCCAAGTGGACTAGGTCAACCAGTGACACCCAGGAAGCCATGTCCTTCCCTATCACCGGAACTATATAACTATAAACCCACACCACTTCACGCAGTGGGGACCATCCTCTGGTCTTCACGCTTGCACGGCAAACACTTTACTGACTGAGAACTATCACCATGGTTCAGAAAAGTTTGTTCTTGTTTTGGTTTTATTTTTGAGACAGGGTCTCTCTGTGTAGTCCTGACTGTCTTAGAATTCACAGAACTCCACCTGCCTCTGCTTTCTGACAGCTCGAATTAAAGGTGCACCCCACCACGCCCAGCTAAGAAAGGCATTTCAAAGAGTCATTAATATGCTACAACTTCAGGGCGTCTTAACCATAGGAAGCTCACAGCCTGGATGGGACAGCCAGAAAATCAACTCTGGCAAAAGAGGAGCCACTGCCCACGAGGTGAGGGGTGTTATGACAACTCTTGTTTCTGAAATAGGAAGTCATGGCCACTACAAAGTTACTTAACACGAGCACTGCTTTTGTAGGCTATGTCCTGGGAGGGGCATGGAATAATGGCTTGAATTGACCAGAAACTCACTGGTACAGACCTCTGCTGAAGGTTATGTCCCCACAGGTAGTACACGGGTCTCAAAAGCAGCCAAAGACACACGCTAGAAGAAGCTGAGCAAACCAGCCAGCTAGATGCCTCTGGACTCAACTTTCTAAAGAGAGCCTCCCACATCTACACCCAGACTGAGTGAGGGGCTGCCATGCACCACATGACTCTGTTGTATAAGCTGAGGACACAGGAAGAGATGGGACATACCAGTGGGCTTTCTGGATGGGACCTCCAGAAGGGGCTGGAGCTCTCTCTGTCAGCACTCTGTCCCATGCAACCTTAACTGCCCTCAGTGGTCCATGTGTATGGTTCCTTCCTTGACTCAAAGATCACTTAGGGATCGGCTACAAAGACACACCTCAGCACCGCACAGGACAACTCACCCAAAGCACACCAACAAAGACCATTGACCTTAGTGAGATTGGTTCAGTGGGTGGGGCTAAGGGCATTTTGATTTGGAGTCAGTTTGGGGGTGAATCGCCCAAGCAGGAACGAGAATATTTAATGCAGCTATGGATGCTGTGTGATGCCCACCTTTGGTAGGTCCTTTCCTGTTAAGCACGGCCTGTTGCTCCTCCGTGATGTTCAACCTCCGAACCACGTCGGCCAGCGCTGACTTGAGCAGCTGAATGTCATCCTCCTGCATCTGGACGCGCTGCTCCAGAGAGGCGATGCGGTCTGATACCTCCATGCTGCTGGCAGCAGATGCGCTGTCATCTAGACCGGAGACAAGTGTCAGGTAAATGAAGAACAACCCATGACAACCAGATCTGTGCACATGCTGGGACATTGCCTGCATGCGATACACTCTGGCGACCTAAGGCAGTGGTTTGTTGGCAGAATCACGTGAGATGGTTTACTTTATGGAATCTTCATTCTTCATCCCATTACCAGTATCTCACGCTCTGTGGGCTTGCCACATTTCACATCTAAACTGGCATTCTATTGTTATAAGTGCAAGCCTATTCGTTTGCTTGCTCAAGTAGTACCAGGGAACCTGACAGGTGCAAGTGATGTCAGACTCCATTTATGTCAACTTCTCAACGTTGTAAAACCCTCCGCCTACTCCTCGTGTCTGATTCCATCTTACATCTCTAAGACCCTCCCCCAAATCACAGCGACACTGTGCTAGCTACGCAGATGGAGACGAATCCAGATCAAGGGGAGAATGTCAGGAGCGACACCAGACACGGCCGTCAGAGCTTCAGATGCAGAGCACCGTGCCCAGATTAGCACAGACAGGGGACACATGGTCCCACTCTGAAGGACAAAGCATCGGGTGGTCAAATCTGTCTGGTAAAGAAATCTAGCCATGGGTCTCACCTTATCCAGAGTCACAGTTCCCAACCCCTAGACACCTTCCTTGTCTCTACCACCTCGTTTTTTTAGAATCTTCCTCCTCACTGGCTACATACTTACCACACCGCCTTCCCCGTAGAGGTGTAAATGAGAATGGCCCCATAGCCTCAGATGTTTGAATACTTGGTCCCTAGTTGGTAGAACTATTTGGGAGGGATTAGGAGGTGTGGCTGTGTTGGAGGTGTGTGTGTCACTGGGGAGGGTGGGCTTTGAGGTTTCAAAAACTTAGTGGCATTCCCAGTGTACTTGCTCTCTATCTTGTGGGTCAAGATGTGAGCTCTTGACTGCAGGTCCAGCTACCCACTGCCATGTCTTCACTCTGCCACTGTAGACTCTGATGGAACTATTGGCTCATTAAACTCTTCCTTTTATAAGATACCTTGGGCATGGTGTTTTATCATAGCAATAGAAACCTTAAGCTAAACCCTAACCTAAAGCTCTCATTAGAGCTTTAAGAAATTGTGTGTGCGTGTGTGCACGCACGCGCGCACACATGGTTGTGTGTGTTTGTGCAGGCGTGTGCTCACACATGCCATGGCACACACGTGGAGGTCAGAGGACAGCTTTCCCAGGTCTAGTCTCTCCTATCACATGGGTCCTGCTGACCATCCATCTCATTGCCCAACAGACACACTTTAGATACAAAGATAAAGATAGGATGAAAGTAAATGAATAGGAAAAAATAGCATCGTGTAATTAAAATTAGAGAAGCAAAGGGCCATGTCACAGTGAAAAGGGGTGGCAATTGTAAGGAAGATATATTAGGTATTACTACATATCGGCAATTCTAGCGGAAGAGACAGAGCCTCCCTTCTGTTACAGAGAGCACACACTGCGGAGGCAAACCACTGGCATTCAAATTCCAGCTCTGCTCCTCACCAAGATACCCCAATTTCTCCACCAGAAAAGTAGGGACACCTTCAGCATACACGTCAGCCGGTTGTCATAACAGTAGATGGGTTCTGTATATGCTTCACTTAGAATCTATTGTATAAGCTAATGTCTAAGTGTATGCTATAATTAAGCTATTTTCAATATCATTAACACAATTATCAGAGTTAACTCAAATTTAAAATTTTGCTCGAAATTTTCCAGATTACTCTTTGAATCGTTTTAAAAGTTTGCTCTACTTTTAATTACATGTCAGTATGTGGGTATGTAGACACCAGCAGTGGGCGTTGGATCCCTGGAGGAGATTTTACAGGCAGTTCTGAATAGTGAGTGTCCCAATAGGTGCTGGGAACTGAACCTGAGTCCCCTGGAAGCACAGTGCATGCTATTCAATCATGGAGCCAGCTCTGTATCTGATATCTATCTGTCTATCTATCTATCTATCTATCTATCTATCTATCATCTATCTATCAATCATCTATCTATCTGTCTATCTATCTGCCTATCTATCTATCTATCTATCTATCTATCTATCTATCATCTATCTACCTGTCCGTCTACATATCTACCTATGTATTTGGTTTTTTCAGACAGAATCTCTCTGTGTAGCCCGGCTGTCCTGAATTCTCACTCTATGGACCAGGTTGGTCTTGAACTCAGAGATCCATCTGCCTCTGCCTCTGGAGTCCTGGGACTAAAGGCATGTGTCACCAATGCCCAGGTCTTTCTGAACATTGTTGTACAAGTGAGAATTCCTATTTTATTAATAACGTGTTTCATAAATTACAAAAATAATGTTATAGCATTCTCTCAAGACCCAAGTGTTAAAATGAAGCTCAGGTGGTAAGGTGGTGATGCTTTAGGGGAGGGGCCTGGTAGAGACAATGAGGTCATTGAGGGGTCACTGGACACATGCCTTTGCAAAGGATTGTGGGGCTCCGATCTCTTCTGCTCCCCTATTGTTTTTCTCTTTTGCTTCCCATACGTGAGGTGAATGGTTCTGCTCCAAGGACAACTCTGGCCACGTGATGCTGCCTCACCACGGGCCCAAAGCAGCAGGGCCAAGAAAGCATGGACCGGAAGTTTTGAAATGCTGAGCCAAATAAACCTCACATTTCCTGTTAGTTTATTAACTTGAGTCTTCTGTTATAGACACAGAATGCTAACATAGAAAGACCTGCTGTGATCTCTCTGGGTTGTTCATGGAGACAACAGCTTTTAGAGAAAGCACACAAAATTGTGAACAGGGTCTGAACCAACACAGTACGGAAGCCTGGAGGGTCCAAACGTGTACAGTCAACCATGTATATCCACACATGGAGTAGAACAGAAATGACTAGCTGACAATGGTCTAAAACACGCCATTGAGAACAGCACCACCGTGTCCCCCATAGGTGAGAGGATGAGTAGATGGACGGATGGACAGGTGACACTTGAACCAAAGAGCATAGATCAGACTTTCAGCCGTATCACCAAATTCGTATAGAAAAAAGTATAATCGAGTATTTAGCAGAAAAGCACCCAATGTCTGTCTTTGAACACATAAAAACCGAGGCATCTCAGAGTCTCTGCTTTTGAGCCTTGCTGAGGTTTCCCCTGTGAGATAAACCCTGCGCTCTTTGGATCCAGCTCAGCTGTGACAGTTTGCTTTCTTCCACTTCTCCAGGTAATGATCCTCCAAAGTGTGGCTGAGAGACCACTTGCCAGCCCTTGAGACTGAGTCCTCCCTTCCGAAAGCTGGGGAACCAGATTAGTCAGAGAACGACGAAGCCAATAGCCTGCTCTGACCCGTGCAGACATTTGCCAACAGTCGAACATGTCACTGAACCCCACAGCCTGAAAAAGAACTTCCTCTCTCATTTCTATCAAAGAAGACCGTTAGACTAGGAAGGGGGTGCACATAAAACTGCCACAAGTCACCTCTTTTAAAGTAACTTTAGAACTGGTACCTCCTGTGCAATTTTTCCAGGGAAATCATTAAAGCAGAGGCCATAACACGAAGCTAGAGCGATTGGTTCAGAGGTTAAGAGCACTGGCTGCCCTTGCAGAGGATCTGGGTTCAGTTCCCCAGAACCCACATGGCAGCTCACAACCACCTGTAACTCCAGTGTCAAAGGATCTGGTGCCCTCTCCTGGCCTCTGTTGGCACCAGCACACAGTGATGCATGTGTACCAGTTGGCTCATACATAAAGTAAAAACAAATCTTTTTTAAAAGGTATTTTGTTTAACCTTTCTATCTTAGAGACTTTGAGGTTTTCACATGAGCTGTAAGTCATTTTTCTTGTGTTGTTAGTGCAGGTGTTGGCAAAAACGGGCTTTTTCTACGATTCTATTCGTACATTGGGGTTTATTATGTTTGAAAGAGGGTCTTATATAGCCTAGGTTGACTGAACTTGCAGGGTAGCCAAACACGACCTTGAACTCCTAATCCTCCTGCCTCTACCTCCCTAGTGTTTGGATTACAGGTTTGGCCATCACATACGGTTTATGCAAGGCTGGGGATCAAGCTCAGGGCTCTGTGGATGCTGGGCAAACATTCTACCAACTGGCACACATCCCCAGCCCACTTCTTAGGTTTTCAAGACTTCCATTTGAAAGTATAACCCACTTCATGGGTCACCTGCTTAGCTGGGTGGCCTGGGTTCTGTTTACCCAGCAAGTGAGGAAGTCTCTCCAGACCGAAGTGGAACCTTAAAGGTTCTTTAGAAAGTTGGTGGGATGGCGTTTTGCTGGGACTAACACATGAAGGAACGTTTTTTGGTGAAGCAGACACAAGTGAAAAGATGTTCTGCTAAAGCTAGCACGTGAAAGGACACGAGATGAAAGATTCTTCGCCAACAACATGCATGTATTGGTCTGCCTTACATTGCATAGTTAAGCTGCATTTATCAGGACTCCATAGAGAGAAACACACCAAAGGACTTATGGTAGTGTGCTGCATGTTTTTGCTGCTTCTGAGGACTTGGGGTGATTGGATGCACATGCTGATGCAAGACCCACGCTGAGGCAAAGCACGTGGAGGACACGTGATGTTTGGAGGGAATAAATAGGACTCCACGGAGTGACGGGGACAGAGCTTGGCTTGCTGGTACAGCTAACTGTGCAACGCTTGTGGGTCTCATGTCTTCGCTGCTGATCTTTGCTTCCCTGAGAGAAGGACAGCTGAGAACTTCTCCTGGTGTCCCTCCAGGTCCCTCCTGTTGACTCAAGCCAAGGCTGAGGCCTGGCTGTCTCTGCTAGGTTGTGTCACCGCTGTTGCTAACCCAACTCTACTGAACTAGACTGTGTATCCAGGAAGTGTTTGCGAGTAGATTGAGCTGCCATTGCCTGCTGACCTGTGAACTGAACTGCCCAGTGTGAACAGACAACACGGACGGGAGTTGCTCCAAAGAACCTTTCTAAACAGGTCCACTTTCCCCATATCCTTTCTTTCCCACTACCTCTGGTTGGTGGTGGGCTACAGGGG